TAGTTTGCCGACAAAGAACAAAGGACAATAGTCCCACATCACGGAACACAGTAGTACAAAACATCCTGTCTCCGTCACTTCCCACACTGTGGAATGAAAACATACACCGTCATGTGATAGACAACAATCCCATGATTGCAAACATGGAGCAAGAATCCTAACAGGCTACCCATCTCTAGGAAGGTTAGAAAATGTTCATTAGGGAGCCCATCATCTGGTGAGACATACCTTATAATAACAGTGAGCTGATCAACATGGTACAGGACAGATAAACTGAAGTACTCTGCAGTTTTTAAATCCTCTAAAATTGATCCTCTTACTTTAAATGCCATCATTTGGGTAAATTCATCACATTGTTTTAGAAAGGTAGGATGTGACACCTGATCCTCCATTTCCAAATTCATTTACATGGTTTGCAAGAAAAGGATCAAATTTTGCAATAAGTTCAAGTTGTTGTTTAGTCATTTAGTCGTGTCTGACTCTTTGTGACCCCCTGGACCAGAGCACGCTAGGCACTCCTGTCTTCCACTGCCTCCGCAGTTTGGACAAACTCATGCTGGTAGCTTCGAGAACACTGTCCAACCATCTCGTCCTCTGTCGTCCCCTTCTCCTTGTGCCCTCCATCTTTCCCAACATCAGGGTCTTTTCCAGGGAGGCTTCTCATGATGTGGCAAAAGTATTGGAGCCTCAGCTTCAGGATCTGTCCTTCCAGTGAGTTCAAGTAATCCAATGTAATTCCCGTTGTGGGGAGAACCAAATCTTTCCTCATCTCCTCTTAAGGTAAACCATGCTCTGCCAGAGTTATTATGCCCACAACAACTCATTCAATAACATGTTTCCAGTGCTGCCGTTCATTATGAATTAGATCCATTTCAGTCCGGTTTCCGTCCTGGTTTTGGGTCAGAGACGGCTCTGGTTGCCCTAACAGATGATCTCCGTAGACAACTGGATCGAGGCGGGTCAGGACTGCTGATCCTTTTAGATTTGTCAGCAGCCTTTGACATGGTCGATCATGATCTTCTGGACCACCGCCTCACAGACGTGGGGATACAGGGCATAGCCCGTAACTGGTTGTGCTCTTTTATCTCTGGTCGGGGACAGAGGGTGGCACTAGGGAGGGAAATGTCGTCGCGCCACTCCTTGGTGTGTGGAGTGCCGCAGGGCGCAATTCTCTCCCCAATGCTTTTTAACATCTTTATGCGCCCCCTCGCCCAGCTTGTCCGGAGTTTTGGGCTGGGCTGTCACCAATATGCTGATGACACTCAGCTCTATCTGCTGATGGATGGCCACACCGACTCGGCCCCGAACACACTGACCAGATGCTTGGAAGCTGTGGCTGGATGGTTTCGTGGGAGCCGATTGAAACTAAATCCTTCGAAGACAGAGGTCCTATGGCTAGGTCGGGATGGCATGGGGATGAGGGACCAACTCCCTTCTCTTGCGGGGGCCCAATTAGTGCCATTGCCTTCCATTAAGAGTTTGGGTGTAATCCTTGACGCCTCCCTTTCCATGGAGGCGCAAGTTACAGCAACAGCCAAGGCGACATTTTTCCACCTTCGCCGCATCAAGCAGTTGATCCCTTACCTTTCCCGCCCCGACCTGGACACAGTGATCCATGCGACGGTCATCTCCAGGCTTGACTACTGTAATTCACTCTACTCGGGGCTGCCCTTGAAGCTGTCCCAGAAACTCCAGTGGGTGCAGAATGCTGCAGCGAGGCTCCTCACGGGGTCTCTGCCATGGGAGCATATTCACCCAGTGCTTTTCAAGCTGCACTGGCTCCCGGTGGAGTACAGGGTCAGATTTAAGGTGCTGCTTTTGACCTTTAAAGCCCTTCACGGCCTAGGACCCTCGTACCTACAGGACCGCCTCTCCCGGTATGCCCCACGGAGAGCCTCAAGGTCCATGGATAACAACACCCTAGTGTTGTTATCTATTTAAACAAAAATTTCGGTGCTAGGTTCTCCTTTACGTAGATCACCAGGCCTCTCTTTTTTACTTTGTCTGATGAAATAAATTCTTGGCCTAGTCTTTTGTTGATTAGTACTTTCCTGTGGAGCCTAGTCACATGCGTTTCTTGCAAGCAAATTATATCCAAATGTTCCTTTTTCAAAATATGAAAAATCCTTTTTCGTTTTTCCGGGGAATTTGCCCCATTAATGTTCCAACTATACAGCTGCAGAGACATCCTGTATCAATCTGTTGTTGCTCTTTATGGGGTGTCCTCCTTTTTGTCCAAATCCGAGGGCGATGGTACAGGTTGTACTTCAGACTGTGGCGGAGGCCAAGGGACTGCTGTTCCCTTCTGAAGGTCCTCTCCGTGGTCGTGCAGGAACTTCTGGTTGTCCTCTTTTGTTTTAATGCTAACCTTCTTTCCTTTGTATTTGAACGATAGACCTTGTGGGAACTCCCACCTATAAGGTATCCCGTTGCTTCTCAAAAGTTTTGCTAAGTCAGTATAGATAGATCTGAGATCCAGTAATTGTTTTGGTATATCCTTATAAATTTCCGCTCTTCTGTCCTGGATCTCAAGTGATTTATTAAAATGAAGGTCAAGTATCTTGTCTCTCTCCTGTTTGGTCCTTAGTATAATCAGACAGTCTCTGGGTCTGTCCTTCCTGGCGACACTTCCCAATCTAAATGCAGTTGTTATTTTAAAATCTTCGTCTTCCTTTATGCCCCAGAATTTGGAAAGTTCTGCTGTCAAGTAACCAGTCAAATCTTCTTTCTCAAGCTCTGGGATAGAACGTAATCTCAAATTATTTTCCCGGTTTCTCAATTCCACCATAGACAGGTAGGCCTGCTGGTCGCCAATGTGCTTGTGTAGTGGCCTTACCTCTCCTTTCAATTCATCCACTTTTTGAATTGCTTGGTCAGCCTTTTCGTTCGCAGCTTCGGCCAATTTCCGGTTCTCAGAAGTAGCGTCTTTTAGATCCCCAATTGCTTGAGTGCTGTACCACTTGTTCAGATAACTTTGTGATAGAGGATGTGGCTAAGTCAATTTTTGCTGTTTGGTCGTCAACCTTCTTATTTAAGATTGCAAATTGTTGTAGCATTTCCTTCAGAAGTGTATCAGATCCACCTGCAGCCATATCCTCCTTTGATGGTTGTTCAGCTTCCTTTAGTTCAGCTGTTGTTGAAGATTCAATTCCCTTCAATTCATCTGTTGTTGGAGGTTCAATTCCCTTCAGTACGGCAGGAACTGATGATCTACGTGACTGGGAAGTCAAAGTTGTTTGCACAAGTTGGCCTTTTACTGCTTTCGCTTTTGCAGATCTTGTTTTCGGAGGGCCACTCATTCCCCACCTGTCTATGAGTCAAGGTCAAACTGTCAAATGTTCCATGGGAAGAACAGACCTCAATGTAGATAACCAGCAGCAGAGAGTCAAAACAAAGTTAGTTCCCAGGAAATTGTAAATCCCAATCTCCACTAGAGGGAGTACAGTTAAAGGGAGTGCAATGTGAGTTCAGGAAAGAAGGAAAAAAGTTTTGGTCGCCATTAAAGTTCCTGCAGCTAAATAGTTTAACAATAGTCCTTAGAGCTTTTTTCCACTTGCAGAGCCCTTGCAAAATTGCCACAAAAGTCACCTCCCAAGGTGCAGGATACAGTTACTTAATTTTATGTTCAGAATTGCCTCTATGTATCTATTTCAGTTTTATAGAATGTATCCGCAAAAGACATTCTTTTCCCCCGCCATCCCGAGGCTGGGTTTTAAACTTTAAAATCCACCAAAGGAGAAGGTTCCCAGATTGCTTCAACACAGTAAAGTAGATAAAAGAGAAAACTTGCCTTTCATTTCAATCGCCAGTTCTATCAGACGCATAATACTTCCAGTTTTAAAATCTCTTTCTGCAGCTTCCAGCCTGTCAGTTCCTTTGCCTTTGATCTGTAAGCCTTGCCGGAAGACGGACTTCCTCTTTTTTTTTTTCGTCTCCCGCTTTCAGCCAAATTTCTAAATTTGTAAATCCAAAATAAAGTTGCTCTTACTCACGAGTAGATAATTTGGAGTCCAATGGTTAAGGAAGAAAGGTCGGCGCTCATCAGCAGCAGCCGCGCGGCTTCGCTCCCGCAGAAAGAGCGATGAACTCTCAGCACCGCTTCCCCTCCGCGCTTCCGGAGCCCCTTACGGGGTCCCTTCTTCGTTTTGGGGGTCGCTCCAGGTGCCCGCTGAGTCCCACGGCCACGAGCTCACTCTGCTTGTGGTTTTTCTTAATGGATCGTCGCTGTGCCGTAGCGAACGATCCTTTTCTGCGGAGCCCCTCTCTAGAGACTAAAGAGGACCGCCATTGCCGTTTCACGCCGCCTCCGGAAGTCCTTTTCTTCTGTGTTCTTGATGGAACAGGAGGTGGTTTTCTGCTCTTCCATCTTGACAATGCTGCCTTCCTGCCCTTTGAGGGGCTTCACCAAGGATTCAGGTCTCCTTCTGACATGAGCCAGTCTCTTGGCCAAGCTTCTCTTCCTGTTTCCTCCACAACCTCTGGTTGATCCCCTTCACAATGGATCCAGATCAGCCCAAAATGGTGCTCAGTCACAGTGACCAAAGAGCAAGACAGAGGGACTCATCCAGACTGCTGCTTGTCCCACCCCTTTCCTCCAGGAAAACCCTCTTTTTACTGCTGAATGAGAGCAAACATCAGCCAGGTTTTCTCTGGATTGATGTTTGCTTTGATGTTGCACTAAGGAGCAGGTTTCTCCTGAGGGAAAGAGGCAGGGCAAAGACAAAACCACTTGGACCCGTGTTTTCTGGGCACAGGAAAAGCAGAAGTGTGGATGAGCCCAAAGAAACACTGAACTGTTTTATTACCCCTTTGGAGGCATTTTATGCTGCAGGTGCTTTTTTAAATTTCCAATTGAAAAGTAGAATTTGAAATTTGGGGACTTCTATGAAAGACAATTTGGAACAGTTCCCTGGTAAGATTATCCTGTAGTCTTACTTCCGTCTGAATTGCACAATGCAAACTGGATTTAATAAATTATAATCTAAGACATGAGATGGGTTGAAATCTCCATAAATGTGAGATTCCCTTAAATGCTGGTGGATTTTCAAAAGGATTTTAAACAAGAATTGCAAACTGATGTGGAAATGTGGAGAACTTGATATTGGAAAAATTCACAATTTCAGACTGGGAAAATAAAAGCTATGAGAAACCAAAACTGGCCGATTCCGCCATTCCTACCCAAAACCTTGGCATGTGCCAGGCAGACTGACATCCCAGGGCCAGGGTCTGAGGGGGTCTTCCTAGTGTGGCCTGTGGTGTGCAGTGAATTCCCTTCTCTTTTTCCCTCTAGGATGTGAGGAGGACCTTGCAGAGGTAAGTGGATCTGGCTCATTTCCATTAGCATCACTCTTTGAAGCTGAGATGCAAAAACCTCAGACATGGCCCTCCAGGGGCTGCAGGGGGGAGACTGTAGGACTCACTCCCTGAGGCACCTCACAGGTAAAAGTAGAGCCCCCTCTTCTGAACTTGTAGCCCCCCAATTCTCCCCAGTGAATTAGCGCCATTTCCTTTGTGAGGTTTGGTTTTACTTTTGCCATGTGTATAATTTGTTTTGTATTGGCTAGAATGCCCTTTTGATGAATAATATGATTTGGTTGTGAATCTCTTTTCTTCCTCACCCCTTCTCTGGGGACATCTAGAGAAAGGAAATGTGTGCTGCGCTCTCATCACCCTCAGACAATTCCTGCCCCTTGATACCATATGATTCTGCTTCTTCTTTGAATTGACATCAGTGGGAAGACCCAGAGGCCTGGGGTTGCTGTTTTGGCCCTTGGGGGTCTGGCTGAGGAGTCCGTAGTGAGGAAGAAACTCCCCACTCAGCGCCTGCCTGTCCCTCTAGGCTTCTTCCAGCTGACTTCCTCTCAATTCCTTTCTTTTCCTTTAACAGAAATTGCAGATTTGAATGGGCTGACATTGTTTTTCTTTTCACCAGGTATGAGAAAAGAGAGAGTCCAGCGAAGCCACTGCCTTTCCCTCCAGAGCTGAGGAACAGGATCTTGGAATCCTGTGATCTAAATCTCCTTGTGGAGGATGCAATGAAACAATTTAAAGGTAATGAATAATGGCTGCTAGGATTTCACACTGGGAATTCTGTTACTTCTTCAGAACTGAACATGCCAGGCTCTTATGGCATGGAATTGAGTAACCCCAGGATACCTTCCTTCTTGGTGCTCCAGCCTTCATTTCCTGTCCCCCAGAATGGCCCATGTATATTGTGACGTTTTCAATTATATGGAACCTCCTTTTCCTTTTGGTTACCAGTCTACACAATCTGGGGTTGTCCTTCTGGAGGTTCTCCTGCTCTGAATGGAGTCAATTCAAGGATGCTACATTATGAAGTGTTACTTTTGTATGGAGATTTATTTCAGCTGGAAGAGTGTTGCCCTTACGCTTTATATCTTTTTGCTTTCTCAGATGCTGTGTTATACAGAAAGCAGATTCAGAAAGGTAAGTTTCTGCATTGTTCAAATCGTTCTAGGAGGAACAATTTGACAGGAGGGATTGGGACTGATATTTCATGGGTGTTGAACCGTCTGTTCTGGGTTTGAAGGCTTGGACTGGGGGCAGAGCTTGTCCCTGCAAAGAACCTGCATACCAGTCTGAGTTCCATTCCTGCCTATAGACTAGTATCCTGGTTTCACCCTTGATTTTACAGATTTTGCTTTCTTTCATAAAATCTATATACTGCTTCTTAGAGCCTTACAATATCTTACAAAAGCCCTTAAGGAGAATCCTGCAGGGTCAGTCCAATGCCCATCTTGTCAGGTTCTCATGTATAAGGAATCTCTCTTACATTTTGTTTTCCTTCCACACAATCTGGAGAGGTTCTTTTGGGGCTTCTCTAGATTTGCTTGGATTTCCCCCTCGTGAAGTGTGTTAAAAGGGGCACCCGCAAGCACCCAGTCCCTCCTCCACCTTCAATCCAGGCTGGCTGGTCTCCCAGCAGCAGAGCAAGGCCTGAGCCGCCCTTTCCTCAGTTTCAACCTCATCAGCCATTTCTCTTGCTTCAGCCATCCCTATCTCCTCAGAGTTCCCACTGTTCTTATGAGATCAGCCCCATTCCATGAGGGAGGACTCCCCATTGCACGAGACCCTTGGAATTACATGGCAAAGCTCTGCAGCTTCTTCCTCTGCAATCTGGTTTGTCAACATGCTTGGAAATTCCATTTTCAACATCTTCTTCCCACCAGTTCACTTGGGGCAGATGTTAAACCTTCCTCCAGCCCTCCAGTCCAGAGCCCCATTTCATTCGTGGATTTTGAATGATTAATTTGGCCATTTTCTAGAATGGTTTACCATTTCTGATATTCCCATGGAATCATGGAATAGTAGAGTTTGAGAGGATCCCAAGGATCATCTAGTCCAGCCCCCTGCAATGCAGGAATCACAGCTAAACTCGTTAGTTGTTTTAATTCCTTAGGCCTACAGTTGTTATCTTTGCAATTCTTTGTTCTATGACTTCATCTTTTGCTTGATATAAGGAAACAAGAGGAACTTCCGGGTTAGCGCCTCGGATAATGGCTGAGCTCCTCTGATCAGGAGGAATTTGCTTTGTGGAAATTAGGGTCTGGCCGCCACGGCGAAGGCGGGGACCCATCAGAAATCACAGGCGGGAGAAGCCTGTGAACGTGGGATTCGGCTGGCACCTTTTGCGCCTCCCCTACTCGCGGGGAAACCCGGTTTCGGGGATCCGGAGCGACGTGGAGTGAGTGGCGCGGTGCTTCAAATTGACTGCTTCTTTCACGGAGTGAAGCCGCATTGCTGTTGCTGGAGAGCGCTGACTTTTTCCTGTGGACAATTTGATCTTAAAACAACTACCCGTGAGTAGAACGGAAAATTGGATTTTTAAACGTCTTAATTTGGCACCGAAACGGGGAGGTTTCAAACAGGAAGTCCGCCTTCCCCTTTTGTAAATAGACTGAAGCAAAGAGACTGCAAACTAAAGTCTTGGAAAGTCTTTCATAAAGGATTAAACTTCCATCGGCTAAACCATCAAACCCCCCTTGGAAGCAGGAGAAGAGGGGGGAAATTTTAGATCGCGTAAAGCCTGCAGGAGAGAGTGAAGAAAGTCAAATCACCACCGCTCTGAACCTGGAAACGGGCTGCTAGTAAGACTGAAGTCTTGGATATGCTCATTGATTGTGAATAGATCGTTTGCTGACAGTAAGTCAAAGAAGAGAAATACATTGTTTCCATTGTCTCCTCCTGCGTTTAAAAAGGAGTAAAAGTAATTGAAAGTAACTGAAAATTGAAACTAACTTTATTGTTTGAACTGTGCTTAAAAGGATTGATACAAATAGAAATTGTTTCCCCCTAGAGGAAGCCTTTGAAATTGTTACATGAGCTGAGCTGGGGAATTTCCACCTGCAAGATAAAACTGAGAATCTGGGATTGACCTTGGATCGGTTAAGAATGTTGAAAGAAGAAGCCTTAGTGGTTGCATTATGTAAGATTAATGATTCACTGGAACAGCTCCATAAGAGGACGGATGCGAGGACTATAAAAATTGATAACTTGGAACAAAAAGTGACTAATTTGGGACAAAAAGTGAATATTAACACAGAAATTATCCAGGAATTGATACAGGGATCTATTTTGACATGGCAAATTGAGGAGAAGGCGGGGGAGAAAGTTGTGGTTGTGGAACCTAAAGTTGCACAAGTGGAGAGGGAGAGAGCCCCAGCCTTACAGATGCAATTTGACAATTATAAGTTGATGCCCTTTAAGACTGAATTCAGATAAAGTCAGACTTTGAGGATTGGAGCCCCGCTTGGACTGGAGAAGGAAAGTTGGATAGATCCCTTCATGCAGGGATTTATTGACTTTTGGGACCTGGACTTGGGTCAGGAGGAGACTGGAGTTGTGGGGACCGCCAGACTCGGAGGAACTTTGAAACACGACTGGAAATATCTTTTGAATTTCAGTTTTAACTATGGAGATTTGGCTGACTTGTCGAGAAGGAATAAAAACATGGCTAGATGGGGATTTCCCCGAGATCTACTTTTCAGCATCAAAGGAAGGAAAATAAGAACAAGATCAGGAGAAAGCAAAGTAAAGTGCATGTATAAATATGAAGAAGACTTGCAGAAGGGACTTGGAAAAGAGTTAAGAGCCTCGGACAGAAGATCACTAGGTTGATGGGCTATATGGAATTGACGGAAATACTGAAGAAACCAGAGGCCTTTCTCCTGGGCATGGTCGGCCAATTGGTGCAAAAAAAGGACGGAACTTTCTTTATGTATGCTACAACAGCAGCAAGAATACTCATCGCGAAGTATTGGAAGACACAAGATCTACCCACCCGGGAAGAATGGCAGATGAAGGTGATGAACTACATGGAACTGGCGGAAATGACTGGCAGAATCCGAGACCAGGGAGAAGAGACGGTAGAAGAATATTGGAAAAAGTTTAAAATTAATATATGGAAATAATGTAAAATTAATGAGTGTTAGAAAAATGTTGGAAGGGAATTATATGGCTTTAGTAGAAATGTTGTAAGGAATTAAGTATAAATAAGTATCATAGTATTAATGGAAAACAAGGTTAAAATATGTTAAGATAATCACATGACAGAAAATAGAGAAAGATGGAAAGGATTTGCTGAAATAATGAATAGAAATGGAATACAAAAAGGGAGGTGAGAGGAGGTCGATGAAACAAGGGAATGAAAGAGAGGATATTGAGATGGTATGATGTATGTTTTTTGAACTGTTTTTGCTTTCGTTTTGTTTAACGTGTTAATGTTAATGTTGTGTTGTGTACTGTTTATATATTGTACTGTATTGTTTTTTCTTTTTCTTTTCTTTTTCTTTTCTCTTTTTTGTAAGGTTTAAAAGTAATAAATATTATTTTTTTAAAAAAGATATAAGGAAACAAGAGATGCTATGTTATGGTGATGTTTTGTAAAAAAAGATTTTCTTTGAGTTTTTGCAGTGTAGCCCATTAAGCCTGTCCTTTTGGTTCCTCAGATGTTCAGTCATTCAGAAATCTCCAGAGAGATAAATTTCACATGGAGACCCCAATTCACAGGAGGGGTGGGGACTAGAGTTTCATGGGGGGTCAAGAGTCTCTTCTGCCCTGTTGAGAACCATCCACAGCTAGACTCTAGCCCTGCTCTTTGTGCCACAAAGGCAGAGAGGGTGGACTTGAAGGTGCAGAAGGGGGAGAGAAACTGCCCAGAAGGATCAGACTGAGCAAGGAAGAGTTTTATTTCTGCCTAGAGAGAGTTGGGTTGCTTTTCCGTGTCACCTTTTTCAGGCCTACTTTTACTTTTTCTTTTTCCCTTTTTTCTTTTTTCTTCTAATTCTTTTCTTTTATTTAATGCCTTTTTAATGTGTATTGGTTGTGTTTTTCTTTGGATGTGTGTGATGAAGAAAACTCAATAAAAAGCATTTATAAAAAAAAAAAATATTTCTGCCTAGAGAGATTTGGGTTCCTTTTGCATGTGACCTTTTTCAGGACTGGTTGCCACATGTCCTCTTTTCCCCAGATACGTCTTCTTTTTTCAGGATTAAAATTTCTGCTGGGCACATGTTTAAAATTTGGCAGAATATCCCAATATTCTTTCTTTCTTTTTCTTTCTTTTTTGGTTTACAGTAACCCATGAAATGTTTTCTAGTGTGTTAGACTCAGATCTTAGGCACCTGGCTAAATTAACCTGCAGCAGAGAATCGTGGCAGAGCAGCATCTTAAGCTAGCAAAATCCCTTGTCTCGTGGCTGAACTAAAAGGACGCTGGCTCAGCTACAAGATCTTGGAGGAGTTTGGGAGGGCAAGAGTTAACATCCCCCTGCCCTTCAGGGGAGTCCATATGCAGATGTTAAACAGTTTAATAAATTGTTCTGTGCACACTTATGTTCACCAAGATGTGAACATGAGCCCAAATACTTTCATGTGGCAAGCAAGGGAGCAATAGGTATTATTATTATTCTTTTTTTGTTGAAACTTAAGAACATTGCTACTAGCAATATGGGACATGGGTGGCACTCTGGTCTAAACCACAGAGCCTAGGGCTTGGCAATCAGAAGGTTGGCAGTTTGAATCCCCACGACGGGGTGAGCTCCTGTTGCTCGGTCCCAGCTGCTGCCCACCTGGCAGTTCAAAAGCACGTCAAAGTGCAAGTAGATAAATAGGTACCGCTCCAGCGGGAAGGTAAACAGCATTTCCGTGCGCTGCTCTGGTTCACCAGAAGTGGCTTAGTCATGCTGGCCACATGGCCTGGAAGCAGTATGCCGGCTTCCTCGGCCAATAAAACAAGATGAATGCCGAAACCCCAGAGTCGTCCGCAACTGGACCTAACGGTCAAGGGTCCCTTTACCCTTTACCTTTACTAGCAATATCTCACAGCTTGTATAGCCTACATAGAGTAGGTGTATTTAAAATGAGAGTTGTCATAGCAATCTGTAGTTAAAAGTAGAAGTTGGCCAATGTGTCTTCTTATTTGCTCTTCAAAATATGGCAACCCCACACTTGCCTATCATGACTGTCTGGTAACCTTTTGAGTTATCCCCCTCTTCCCTCAGGGAACTAGTCTTACGGTATATGTTATATCCAAAAGAGAAGCATAGAATAAGGAGTCCTTTGTAAAATTGCCCTGCCATCTGCCTCCTCTTCCTTGGCAGCAAGCCCTAGACTTCCAAGATGGTAGGGAGGAAGGCAAGGAGAGACCAAGTGGGTGAGAGAGATGGAGAGCAGGAATAAACAGGCTCCCCACTTAACGCGATTTTCACTTGTGGGCACGAGGGCCCAGAATGTGATCCCCACGAAAGTGAGGGGAGGCCTATATGTGTTTTTATGCTGTAGTTTTATGCTGTGAACCACCCTGAGACCTGTAGATGAAGGGCAGTAGGCAAATATAATTTGTTGTTGCTGTTGTTGTTAGAAGAGGGGGGTCTCTTCCCATCCCAACCAAATGTCCCCAAAGGCCAATTCCCACAGAGATTGTCAGAGGAAAGCAGCTTCTCTCCTCTCCTGCCTCCTCCAGTTCTCCTCTCTTCCCCCTTACATAGCACAGAAGAGCTGAGTAAAAGTTTTACTGGGTGGTTTTTCCCCTTAGAAAATGTCTGGGTTTAGAGAAGGGCAGGAACAATATACATTGAATATAAGAAAGTAAAGGAAAAACCATAAAGGAAGATATTTATTTTGATGAGAGTAAGGTTCTCAGTCTAGCATGCGATGCAAAGAAATCCCCTTGATCTGAAAGGGAATCTGGGGTTTTGGGGTGTTTTTTATTTATTTATCAGGATGTCTGTTTCTGTCTCTTGGCTGACTCTGCCTATTCTTCTCTTTCCCTCATTTCTCCCCAACAGCAAATGTCACTCTGGATCCAGACACAGCCCATCCTGAACTCATCCTGTCGGAGGATGGGAAAAGCGTGATACATGGAGACAAACCTCAAGCCCTGCCTGACAATCCTGAGAGATTCAGCCACGAGTTTTGTGTGTTGGGACGTGAGAGATTCACAGCAGGCAGACATTTCTGGGAAGTCACTGTGGAAAGTGGGGAAGAGTGGTTTGTGGGGGTTGCCAGGAAGTCTGTGAGGAGAAAGGACTATTCTAACTTGACTCCTACAAGGGGGATCTGGGCTGTGTGCCATTTCGAAGGGAAGTACTGGGCCTGGACATCCCTATTTCCTTCTCTTCTGTCTCCGAGTGAGAAGCCCAGGAGGATCCGGGTGACTCTGGACTATGAAGGGGGACGTGTGTCTTTTTATGACGCTGACTCAGGAGCCAAACTCTACACGTTCCCAGGAGCCTCGTTCTCCGGAGAGATCCTCCTCCCTTACTTTCATCTGAGGGGAAATGAAACCCACCTCAGGATCTCCTGAGGAGACTAAATCTGCCTCTCAGGCCCAGCAGGAGTTTCTCTCCAGACCAGAGTGACTGACATAAAAACCATTTACCCACCAAGAGCCCTTTGGGCAGTTTTCCAAGGGCCCTTTGAGAGGATTCATTCCAGTCAAAATCAGCAGAAATAACAAAAGAAAATGGGTTGCTCTTGCTTTGCATTTTCCTTCCTTTTCCCAGAATTCCCTCTGCAGCTCACTTCTTAGAGAGACAGTAATACTTTTAACAGTCCCAACAAATAATCTTATCCTCAAACAGGCTCCCTTACCTTCAATCTTCTTTCCCTTTTGAGATGTCTGATTTGGCAGAGCTCGAGACAGGGATGTGGGTTTGAGCCCCATGACGGGCAAAAGTTTCCTGCACTGCAGCAGGTGGGACTAGATGACCCTCAACTCTGCAATTCTAGGAAACCTTCCTCTCCCCACAAGACCTCATGCAGCTGTTAAAATTCATGCATCATTGGATTAATAGATGACTGAAAAATGAACCCCTTCACCCACGTCAGGCAGGATAGCTCCTTGCTCTGGAGACCTTAGATGGGAAGAAAATGAAAAAGAAATTGAACAAGGTGTCAGCTTCAAATGCCCTCTGCAAATACAGCCTCTCCATCTCCACATTTTGACAGAAATAAACCTCCTTGCATTGAGTGGGGCTTCGGCCCAGTTCTATGTGTTTCGTGTGGATGCATTAACGTTCCTTATTTACATGGACATAGGAAGGGCTTCGCCCCTGTTCATTGGTTTGATTTTGCTGCAATATATGAATATGTAATGTTTAATGCTGTTTGGAACAAGGTATATAATGTCCCATTAAACTTTAAATAGTTTAATGTAAATGCCCAGTGCGCTTCCATCGTCACAAGTCCCACTACAGCAGAGCATTTCGCGCAGCAGTTTAAGAAGGGCAGGAGAGGCAGTATCTTCTCAAAGAGGAGTCTTGGAGCATGCGGTTTGTAACTCAAAGATAAGGTTTATTTACAAAAACAAAACAACCCTGGCGACGAACCACACATCTCAGCAAACACACCCAAAAGGGGAGAAGGGAAGAACAAACACACGGGAGACTATTTATACAAACTCATGTTCCTGGAAGCCTAATGACCTCCAGCTGCTCAGTGATTAGAGCGTTTCTGCTACCTTTTAACCCTTTGATAGCAACACCCCCTCTCGCTCGTAACACTGAGCTGTACCAACCTTAATTCAAATTTAAACCTGAACAGAAACATTTATGAGATTGCGGACTCAAAGCTTTTGTAAAACCGTCTGCAAGATTTTCTTGGCTTGGACAATACTTTAGTTCAATTAACCCTTGTTTTACACTTTGGCATACATTTTGATAACGGATATCCAAGTGTTTTGTGTGTGCCTTGAATTGACCTGATTTAGCTAGTTTAATACAAGGTTGATTGTCTTCCCACACTCTGATAGGTAGGGAACATTCTCCAAACAATTCTTGTACCAGTTGCTTATAAAATTCCAGTTCTCTACATACATCTGATAATGCATTGAACTCAGATTCAGTTGAACTTAAAGCTATAAGTGATTGCTTTCTTGATCTCCAACCAATTAGTGCATTTCCAAATTTTATCGCCATTCCTGACACTGATTTTCTATCTGGTCCAGCATCTGCCCAACTGCTGTCGGCCCAACATTCAAGTTGTGTGCTGCCCTCTGCTGATAGTTTTAAGCGAAACCTTTTAGTAGTTTGGAGATACCTTAAAACTCTTTTTACTCCTTGCCAAGCATGCATTGATGGTTTTTCAGCTTGTCTACACAGCATGTTGACAGCATATGTTATATCGGGCCGAATCCACTGTGCAATGTGGAGTAGACTGCCTATCGCTGACTGGTAAACCCCGGGATTACTGAACTCTGCCTGTTGCTCGGTTTGAGCATCCTTTATGTAACTTAACTCCATAGGGGTTTTAACACCAGCACAGTTGTCCATTTTAAACCTTTCCAGCAACTGCTGGATCTTAGCTTCTTGGCTGAGCCAATAGTTCCCATTTTCATCTTGCTGAATTTTAACTCCTAGGTAAACAGATACATTGCCTAGTGATTTTATCTGAAACCTTTCTCCAAGCTTTGTGGCAAATTGTTGTGCAAGTTTATCATCCTTTCCACTGTATAATAATTCGTCAACAAATATCAAGACTGCTTCTTGTTCACATCCCGAGCCTTTTAGATAAAGACACGCATCTGCTGCGCTCTTTCTGAACCCCATGCTCTCTAGAGCATCGTTTAAGCAGGAATTCCAATTACGGGCAGACTGTTTCAACCCATAAATGGATTTGCGTAGGCGCCAGACCTGGTTTGGCTTGTCTCCTTCAAAACCTGGTGGTGGTGTCATATAGACTTCCTCCTGTAAGTCTGCATTTAAATAAGCCACATTGACATCAAAATGAAACAGCTTATTTCCCTTCTTAGCTGAAGAGGCTAAAAGCATTCTTAGTGACTCCGATCTTGAAGTAGGGGCATAGATTTGAGAATAGTGAACACCTTTGCGCTGCGAAAACCCTTTTGCAACTAGTCGGGCTTTATATTGCAACTCTTCAGTAGTTGTGGGCTTTAAACGATATACCCATCGACAACCTACAGCTTGTTGCCCTTTCGGAAGCTCTGTACTTGTAAACACACCAAGAGACTTCATTGAAGCCATCTCCTTTTCCATTGCTTCCTGCCACTTTACGGCTTCTGAGCTTGGAAGCTGTTGTACTTCCATATAGCTATCTGGCTCACACTGTGCCATATTTACGTATACACTTGTCACCTTAAACCGCTCTGGCGGCCTGCCCTTTGTGGCACGATTTGACCTGCGCAATTGCTCCTCTTGTGCCCCGTCTGACCGTTGGCTGTCAGAATCTGTCTCAGACTTTATATCTGGACGCGCCCCTAGGGATAAAGATCTCCGTTTAGGTACCTCCCTTGGGCTTGGTGTTGCAGGTGACCTGCTTCACTTTTGCTGTCTGCTAGGCCTACTGACTGGCGATGTTGGAACACTCCTAGATTCTGGCTTTTCTACCTTAGGAGAAGAACCTTGTGCCTGGTCAGAATCTGCATCTGAACCATGTGCACCATCCCCTTCTGGCTCACCACCCTCTGGACTTTCATTCTCAGTATGAATGCCTAAATCATCTCTCAAAATGTCAGGGTTAGCATATAAGTGAGTCCATCCGGATTGCTCACAAAATTCAGCGTTCCTACTGAGGACCACTCTCGTAGTATCCCCATTTGGGTCCACGAACCTCCAAGATTTGGCGTGTGGTTCGTACCCACAAAAGATGAGTTTCCTAGCCCTTGGACCTCCCTTTTTCCTTAACGCTTTTGGGATAAGTACATAGGCTGGACATCCAAACACCCGAAAGTAATTAATTTTGGGCTTCTTCCCATATAAAGCAAAATAAGGGGTAGTGCCAATTACAGAATTATATACTCGGTTCAGAATATGAGTAGCTGCCTGCCAGGCTTCCGCCCAATAACTTTGAGGAAGTTTAGCATCAAACAACATAGGGTTTGCCAACTCTTGCAGAACCCTGTTTTTACGTTCGGCCACGCCTCCTTCTTGGGGGGAATAAGGTGTAGACAGACGATGCTTAATTCCCTTTTTCTTAAAGAAATTCTGCAACACAGACCCGGTAAATTCTGACCCTCTGTCTGTCTGAAAAGCAAGTACTCTAGTACCGAATTCAAGTTCTACTGCATGAACCCAATTTTTAACTGTTTCTGCAGTATCTGCTTTGGTTTTGAGAGGAAAAAACCATGTAACCTTAGTTTTGTCATCTGAGAGACACAGTGCATACCTCGAACCTCCCATGGAGCAACAGGCATTGGGCCACATAGGTCCATATGCACAAGTTGGAATACTTTGTCAGATTTCCTATCTGAACTGGGATAGCTGCATCTATGAACCTTTGCCCTTTTGCATGCAGTACAATCCAAATACTTAGTACATTTGTTCATTTTGCACCCTTCTGATAATTCAGGTTGCCTTTTAACATACTGAAAATTAATATGTCCCAGACGGCGGTGCCATAAATGAACACAAGAATTATGGGTAGGCGTGTTCACACAACCAGCATGAACCTGTTCAACTTCATCTGGACTTGTCTCAAAATAATATAACCCATCTCTGCATTCCACCTGCAAAAGAGATACGTTATTCTTTGAAATAGTGCAAACCCCATTTTCAAACACAGTTTTAAACCCATTTCTATCAAGTTCTGACACAGACAAAATACACCCCTTCAGTCCCTTTAGCACATAGGCATCAATTTCTGTTTGCAAACAATTCAAGAACACTGTGCCTACGGTCTCTAAGGCAGTGTTTCCCAACCTTTTTTGGGCAAAGGCACACTTGTTTCATGAAAAAAATCTCGAGGCACACCACCATGCCAGATGGGGAAAGGTCACTTTTTACTTATGTAAAAAAAAATAAAAAAATAGTAACAGCATAGAAGGTAATGGTAGATGACTGTTAGGGTCTCCCCCCAAATGCAGAATTCTATTAATATCTTCCTTAGCGAGCCGCGTTAACCCCTGTAATGCTTTCTATAGAGTAAGCATAGGGGACACTGGGGGATGTGGAACCAAGGGGGCAGTGGGCCAAAAGAGTTCGGGATCTACTGCTTTAAACAGAAATAAGAGCCAGTGGGTTCTTCCTTTTTTAAAGTATCGTTTCAGTGGGGACAGCAGTCCGGATTTCCAAAAAGCGGCGCTTTTTTGCGTCTGAGCAAAGAAGAGAGAGAGGGGAAAAAAGAGAGAGAGATTGATTTGTGGCTGCGCAAAGGGGGGAGGAGCCCAGGAGTAAAAGTAGGAAGGACGAAGGGAGGGGAAAGGAAAGTTAATAGAAGGAAAGGCGGGTGGGAGAGAAAGAGAAAGAAAGAGGGAAGGAAGAGGGGAAGAGAAGTGGAAAGGAGGGAGACCGAGGCGGGGGAGAAGCGTCTGGAGAGTTGCTCCGAAGTTTGGGGGGCCGCGGGGGTGGGCGCGCGTCCCAGGAGGCAGAGGCCAGCCCGGGCTGGGAGCCACGCCGCGGCCCGGGGGC